TATGAGAGCTAATGGTTGCAGATCAAATCTAACCATATAAACTCATTGGTTTTCATATCAAAATCAAATCTGATTCAAAACTGAAGAGCATAAGGTCATATGGACTATGCTATTACAAAAGTTCTAATCCATTTACAAATATTATGATATGACAAAAGTTATTTCAGAGAAACACTGAATTTTAAATATAAACATATGATTGATAAACAGTAAAAAAAACAAAACAAATCAATGTTTTGCAGGTTATTTAAAGCCAGAAAATATTTTTACATGGTAAGATTTTTTTTGGAGATAATAATGATGTTTATTGATACAAATTCTACTAATTAACCCCTGGCTGAGAAGAGAAGAGGTGGATTCCTATCCTTCCAAGGGTATTTCTGTATAAGTGGATATAATGAATCCAACTGGAATTGGAACTCAGCTCTTTGATTTCCAATTACAAGCTTGTATCCATTACACCACCTGCACAACCAAGCTTGCAGACAAATGTATAAAAGCAGCATTTAACAATTGTCACTGATAAAAAATACATTTAAATAATAAAGAATACTAAATTAACAAGAGAACTGTCTTTATAGTTGATATGAAAAGAAAATGCAGGTGAATTTGCTAATCTCTTTGGTGATCTTGACTGTGAAAAGTGAATACTTAAAGTAATATTAGTGTTAGATAAAAGAGAATCAGTGAAAGAATATCAGCAAATTATGTAGAGCTTAACTGCAACGTATTAATATCAGCACACTCCAAGTATTTACATTTAGTGAGAATAGAGAGTGATGTGATACGGCATACTTGCTATTGTTGAGTTTAGAAATCAAAAGAAATTCAAATTTTGCTAAATGTCAGCCAATAGAAATTGAAATTTCAAGCCTAATCAATTGTTTATCAGATCTGTTTGCTTCATGCAAAAATGCCAGCAGGTCTAATATTTTATTAAGCAATAAATGAATGATTTTCTATTCTTGAGGATAGTAAAGAGTCACTCTTTAGATGATATATTGGAAAATGGTATTTTTTGTTACCTTGAAATGGCTTCTACTACTAATAATTTTTTTTAGAACAGCAAAGACCAAAATTTCAACAATATACTTATTTTCCCAATACGAAACGAATTAAAAATATTGTCATCATTACAAGGCATCATATATAGAGTGTGTGTGTATTTTTTTATCAGATTGAAAATCATGATCAATATCTAATGAGAGAGAGAGAAAGAAAAAAAACTTATCAAAGCTAAACTTGTTGAAAGTATAAAGTAAAAAAAAATTTTAAATCAGAAAATTCAATTAGATTGGAATTTCTTAAATAATAAAAGTAAAAATAGTAATGTAAATTGGTTAAAAAAAACAGATTTTTAAATAGGCTTTTGAGAATATGATCTCATAAAATATTTCAAGATGACTAAAGAAATTGATTTTAAAAATATTACCATAATATTTATACTATATTATCTAATAAATGTCAACAATATGAATAAAAACAAAAATTAATAATGTTGCTCCTCAAAAAAACATTAGAAGAAAAAAATAGCACATAAGAAATCATTGCAAAAGAGGCCATATAAATAACAGATAATAATCAAAAGTCTAATTTCAGAGATAAGTCAAGCTAAATAATGAAATCTAATAAAATGTTACTGACTTAAGATGTCAATATCTTATATATTCATAAAATAAGTCATTAATTTTACAAATGAAATATTTACCTAAAGTTTGAAGTAAGGTAAAACAATTCAATGGATCAAAAAGTGTGATACTTCTCGAAGTAAGCATGAAGATTATTTGAGTGATAAAAATATGAATATTTTTATTGGCCATAAGTAATTCTTCATTCAAATAAAAGTATCTGATCATCAAAAAATATATGACAAAGTAGAAAACATTTAAAAAATACAAAACATCAAGTGTTAAAAGTTTATAAATTATTTCTGAACAAAAATAAAATTCAATAAATCTAATTTGAAAATGATCAGTAACAAGAAATTTAAGAGGTTAAAGAAAAATAAAATAAAATTTCTGAATTTTCCAGGGGATTTTATGATCAAACAAATGAGAAAACATATATACAGATAAATGATGTTTTGAAAAGATTAAAGTTTTTAAAACTATTTCAGAAAAAAAATTAAAGGTTTTAAAATAATAAATGAAAAAGTAGAATTGATAAAATGGAAATATTTGCCCAAGGAACAATGAACTGAAGGCTGTAATGTGTCCCAATAAATAAAATGAAACTAAAATGATAGACAGAGTGGATACATGCAGTAGCAGTGGTGACTGTGATGGTGATAAACATGGATGGATTGGCAGTGGAAATAGCATTAAAGGTTTACATGCAAGCAAGATGCACATAGATGGACACCAAGATGACATTTCTTCTCTTATAATAGTTTTCCAAATCAACTTGATTTTTGTCAAAACATACTAAATAAATTCATTAAGTTATAATTACTCATTTTACACTATATTTGAATAGATTTTGCCAAAACATCCTTCAGTGAATGATTTAGTTCAAATATGTTGCTGTCTGTCACATGTGATTACATATGACAGGATACACAAGACTTTACAAGCTACTGAGCCACAAGTCAAATTCATTATTTTTGCTGTAAAGAAAACACTTTTATTGATTCCAGAACAAAATCTGTGGCACATTTATTAAAATTTACTTTGAACAAGAATAGAAAATACGATTCATATTTTGTATTCATTTCCATACAAAAGGATGACAATTCATTAAAAAATCAAGTTAAAACAAAGATAACTTCATTTGTTATTTGATCAGAATTTACATGACAAATGAAGTCATTTTCTGTAATAATTTCAATTCTGAAGGTAAAATGTATTTAGTTCAATAGAAAAAAAAAAAAAACAGTCCAAAAGATGAATAAAAAAACAAAAAAAAAAGACATCAAAAAGGGCTTAAATTATTCATATTTAAATCAATTTTGAATTATTTAAAATCACTGGCCAATTTGCTGAAAATGTTTTGAAATATTTTTAGGCCTTTTAATACTGTAAAATAAAATAAAAAAAATAAACAGATTTTTTTAAAAATGAAAACAAAATGGTAAAAACCCTGAAAAGTTCTAAAACTTTAGTCTTTAATAACAACTTACCAGGCATTAAACATAATGCACATTTTATGAACAACTAAAAATCAATAGCTTTTTTAAAACATTAACTGTTTTTTACTTGAATTTTAATGTCTTTTTTTTTATAGAATAGAAAGAAAAATAATGTAGAAAATTACTTAAATTTTTTATCAAAATAATACTTAAATGTCACTCAGTTCTATTTTGCATGTTGGATTCAAATCTTACTAATGGCAATTTTATTGGAAATGGCTAACACATGCAAGGTACACATGTATGGCAAATATTATCACTTAAAATTATATTCCAACTTTAATGTTATCAAATATGCTTAAATTGATTGCTTACTAAAAATGTTTTTAAAATGAAATTCATAATTCATAAATTTTAAAACATCTTTAAAGTTGGTATTTTTTTTAAATTTAGACTTTCAAGTAAGTATTTAAAAGATGTATGAAAAAAATGACAACATTATTAATGTTATTTTTGAAAATATGGTATCATTATGAAGTAACATTTAAGATGTTTGACAGATATATTTTTTTGCATTTGAACTTGTTAAACTATTCATCAGAATTTTAAGAGAAGATACATGCCTGAAAGTGAGAAGAAATGCAAGCATGCACAAGCAAGCTTGTCTACCAGTCAAAAACAAGGACAAAATTCTAACACCATAGCACCATCTGCAGTCAGTATTTTTAAAATATTTAATTATGCTTTCATAGAATGATTTCCAAATAAATGTAGAGATAAAAATTACAAGGTGCAGACAAAGAATTAAAATGGAATATTAAAAAAAGTACACTAAAATATGGCTGCAACATTCACCCAATTGTTCTTTTAAAGTGTTTACTTAAAAATTTAAATAGTTTTTAAACTGTTGATAATTTAATAAAATAAGTACATTTCTTGTAAATTTTGTTGAAGCTTAAATACGCTTTAAGTAAGTTTACTTATCTTGTATAGACAAAAAGATATGGATTTATAATTGTTTATTAATAAAAATTATTTTAGATTATTTTATTTATTTAAATATCAGCTCCTTTTAAAAATTAATCATCTCTCACAATTATAAGTTGTTTATTTTTTTTTGTACCCAATGTTTGGAAAGCAGAAATGCAGTAGTAAAATTATTAGAAGTTATACTATTCTAGATTAAGAATAGCAATAAACATCTAGTATTGAAAACTGATATTAATAAAAACAATATATTTACTGATATGTCTGTCTAAAACACATGTTAGATTAATCAAACCAAGTTCAAAGCTATATCAAATCTTGGAAATTGGACAAAATCCCTTCTAATATATAACTTTAAAGGTTATGAATATGCAACAACTGTCGCTAGTAGTTTAAAGTTGACACTATATTCTAAGCAGTTTTTAAAATTACTATCAAATTAACTTCAGCAATTGTGCATTTTGTGTAAAAGCAAGAAATTTTTGCCAGAGGATGCTCTTAAACATCCATAGGTCTGAATTAAGCTACAAAATTCAAATTAATATTTTATACTTTGTGTATAAGATAGTTGAATCTTTTTATTGCTTCTATCTTGGTTTTATATATTAACCTCTGTTTATCAACATGGGCTATTTTTTATTGCCCCTGCTCAAAATAAATAAAATTAGAAAAAGAACTTTTTTACCATTAATAATAACATTTAGCTTTTGAGAAATAAACTGATTCTTAAATCACTATGCAAAATCATAAATTAGAAGCAAAACAACTCGTCATGTTGTAATTGAATATTTTAACAGACATCCTGACAGTCCATCTTGAGAAAGTAAACTGCAGATGGTCTATGTGAAGAATGAATAAGATGTGTAGGAGGAAGAAATTTCCACCAAATTTCTGACTTGGTTGCTGCTGCTGCTGCTTTAAGCAAGTAGGTAGCTAGCACACTCACTTGAAACATAAGGTGGATGTTGGTAACTTTCTGGGCTGACCAGCCAGCAGACTGTGAAGAGGATTCAAGATCAAAATAAGGAGTCAGCTTTTGAATGTAGCTCCCTTCTTTAAAAAAGTTCTGGTTTGAAGTGTTGGTTTTCATCAGATTCAACATCAGTAACAAGCAGTCTTCCACCACAATACCTAAATTTACAGAAATAAGAAAAGATTTCAGAAACACAAGAAAGAAAGATGTAAATGAATTATATACAGCAAAACAAAGCTTACTTCATGCTTAAGTTCAATTGAAGATAACTACTGTAAAAGTTCTTCCACTAATATAGAAACTACTTTATTTAATATTTTGGTAGTTGACAAATACCACTTTCATGTACTATTATTCTGTAGTCAATACTAAAATTATTTCTAAAAATGGTGCAGAAGAAAGTCATTTCAATTTGTGGTCAGGGATTATTTAAAAAAAAAAAAAAAAAAAAAAAATAATATTTCTTTAACTAGCTAATTTCCTATAAACTGATTTTGATACTTGTAAAAATCTTTAATATTTAAAGGGATGCAAAAAAGATAATGATATCAATAATGGATATTTCCAATATGGATAATATTGTAAAGTAGGAAGAAAATAAATAAACTGTTGACATATTAATAAAAGTTCCTCCACAGAAGAGATATGATACTGATGCGAGAGAATTGAAAGGATGTAATTACCTCCATCACTGTTGCCCTCATCTCTAATGATATCAAGTAATCTTTCAAATGCATTTTCAAAGGCAACAATCTTCTGAATATTGGCATTGCCTTTTGTCAGTTGGATTAACAACAGGAGAGCCTGTAAAAGGAAAAATAGTCAATAACAAAAGATAAAAACAAATAAATCACATTTCATTTTTTGATTACTAATTTTGATACTCAGTTGGAAATAGTGAGAAAAGCTTATCCGTCCAAAGATTAACTTTTTTTTTATATTGTTAAATTTTTGATCAAGTAATAGCAGAAAATATTGAATTTTTTTGTTTGTTTTTTCCAAAAATTGTAAATTACTCATTATTAACTGAATAAACACACTCACCTCATTTCTTATAATTTCTCGACTGTCAGACAGCAGATCCATCAACTTGGACACTCCCATTGGACTAATCAAAATTATTTCTTGGATTTCTTTGCTCTTATTAGTTAATAAAATGGTTAGCAATTTCACAGTGGGCCATCGGACATGAAAATCATATTCCTACAAACAGAAAATATATACTTCAGAAGCACACCCAACAGGTTCAAATCTGTAATTAATGTGTGTCTAGCAGAAAAACACAATTTATACATAGAGATAATAAATTAAAGCCAAATTTACACAATTATTAGAAAATATATATCTCTAACTACATATCAGTTTTTGTCTAGCTAAGTTACACACATGATGCACTCTACTCAAAATAAATTTTAAAAGAAACACAAATATATCAGACTACTAGCGAATTACATTTGCCACAGATGCTTTCAACTATGTCTGTGCATTTCCCTTTATATATCTAAATAGACATTCTCTGTCATCCTCTCTTTTTCTATTTTTCTCTTACATGGTAAGATGTAGGTCGCACGTGGAGAAAAGTGTCCCCCCAATGAAGCACAAATGCATGCATGCACCTTTCACTTATTTTTCTCTAGGACTTACTTCTACACAAACTTAATACACACAAACACATTCTCTAGTTTAAATCTTTTCTTCTCCCATATATATTGTTCCGTCACCCACCCCAGATTGGTGACCAAGACATGATATTTTTCTCCTGGATACACAAACCCACAAAACTATAGAAAGAAACTCAACTATGCATCATTTAGACACTTTTCAAACCTGTGATGGAAAACTTCAACCAACTGCTACCTACTGTACCATGCCATGTGGACACAAAACTTTCAACAAAATAACTTACTCTTACAAATTTGTAATTAAACATCATGTAAAGAGCAAAATCACAAATTTCAAATCTCTAAAAAACATAACTATCTGGACAAGATGTTCCTCAAGTCAGCAAATATTTTTTTTTTTTTTTTGCAACACATTAACCAAAAAATTCCTAATTGCTATTACAATTACTACTATGGTCAGCAGGCAAGTAAGACTCATCTCATCTCTACTACCTTTTGCTTCATCCTTTCTCTTAGAGGCACAATAATGCCTAACTCAACCAGCTGACATCACAAAATAAGTTTTTCACCAAAATGAAAAATACAACTTTCATTTTACAAGTTTGAAGCAAGCAAAATGCTGCTTATTTTCTCCAAGAATACCACCCAGAATTCACAAATAAACCTACGCAGACCACACAAGAAAATACCACACCAACACCATGGAAATCAACTCTGTTTTCAACTTTAAACAGCACTATTTCTCCTAGGCTCAACAGATAAAGATGTAAAATAATTCCAAGGTGACCCACTGACTTTTTCACTATTCAAAGATGTTTTAACATGAACAAAACTAAGAAATCTGCAAGTACGATTTAATAATACATGTATTGCCAAGAAAAATCAATAATAATACCAGATACCTTTGAAAGTTCTCACAAAACATGCATTCAACACTTGTTAGCAATTTCACCAACATCAACTCAGCAACTTTAAAAATCAAAACTTCTACTATTAAAATTTTGTGCACCTAGTTCATCCACGCATAGCAAAACAAACCAGGCCTTTCAAACAAAATCAATTCAATGTGGAGCATTGGAAAATAACATAATTTTAATACCAAACAGTATTTGTAGTGGAAAAACACAATTTACACATAGAAATAACAAATAAAGCCAAATTTACACAATTATTAAAAAATATACCTCTGTAACTACACAGCAATTTTTATCCAGCTAATTCGCACACACATGCCGCACTCTATTCAAAATAAATTTAAAAGAAACACAAATATATCAGACTGCTAGCCATTGTTGAGGCGAACCTTGTTTGCCACAGATGCTTTCAACTATGTCCATGTGTTTCCCTTATATAGGCTTATAAGATCCTGGACGGCAGAGACCAACAGAAAGTAGAGAGAGATTATATGCACGCACAGCTGACTGCCCATCTAACCATTAGGCTTTGTAAATGACCTCCTGTAAACACAGTAAATGAACAGGGACCCTATCAATGTGATAAGCACAAAATGATAACTACCAAGCAGTCAGTTGGGGTTAAGCATACTCCTTTTTCATGCTCTTACTTCACACTTAGTACAACACACATTCAACCTGCTACAGTATACAATTTACCAGAGATATTTTTATAACTTGTATATAAAGGAAAAAGAAAAACTTAGCCAATGCCTTTCATCATCTGAAACTTCATTAAGGCAAGTTTTTCTGTTGTCCTTATTCACATTGTTCTTTTACAGATATATTCTATCTGAAAAACTTTACACACACACACATATATATAACTTATTTATTAACAACAAGTGAGGAAAGATCATTCCTCCATTGGTGTTACTTACCTCCAATAATGACAATAATAATGTAACATTTTCAGAATTTTTAATAAAAATTTCTGTGAACTGACCACCAAGGTCATCTGGAATGTGATTTGGAACTTCATCTTCAATTAAAGATAAAGAATCTAAAATGATAAAAAAAAAGAAAAAAGAATGGTCACTGTACAAATATTCCAATTAATAAATTTTCTTAAAAGCAAAACAATCTTTTCATCAGGTTAAACAAGTAATGTTTTTTGTATCCCCCACTGAGAACAATATACAAAAATGTGGAATGCTTGAATCCTAGGATTTTATGGGATTTAAACAACTCATTATTTCCACATGTCTCATTTGAAGTTTTACTAATTTTCAAAAGCTAACTTTTCTAAAGGATGAAGAGTAGAGGAATAGAGATGAATATACTCAGTATTATGCTAATGATTAAAAGGTGAAATTTATTAAAATACAAATGTGATGCAAAAGTTAGGAACCAGAGAAAATATACAAAACTATCTATACAATTCAAGAGAACTACTTAAGTGAAAAATCTCTAGATGGATTACATCTGAATGAGAAATGGGGTGGTTTCCTGTTGCCTTCCCCATTTTAGAATCAAAGTTTTCCTTTTCTTGAACTGGTTGCCACCCAACCTAGAGAGTCCAGTCTACCCTGCTATTTAATCCATAGCTGCGGAGAAGAGATTCATGCCTTTCTCAAGGGCACATGTGGAAGTGAATGCAATAGACTGGCTTGAAATTTGAAAGCTCTCTGCTTCAACTTACTGTGACAATATCCTTTATACATCCTTAAACAGTGAAGAGCACATTGAAAAAGAAAAGCTCAACATCTTTGTACTGAAGTAGAGAAGATGCAGCTATATTCTATAATATAATATTTCTACTGTAAGCAATTATCATAGATTACACAAGGTGTCTACAATCAATTTTTCAAAACCAATTTTTGAAAATAAAATTAAAATTTTATTAATATAAAACATCATTATATAAACTGAATTCAATTAAAAGCTTACTCACCCATGTGATTATTAATCTGAATAGACCTTCTACCAAGTTAAATAGTCTCCCTGCCTCATGCAGTCACATTACTAAAATACTCAGTGATTTATTTTTTTTTTATATTTACTCAAAACCCTCAATCAAAATTGCTTGTGACTTCATGCTAGAACCACCACTGATAATTTCCAAACAATTTTGTCTACACAACTTCTGTCACAAGGCTTGGGTCAACTTGTGGTATGGTTTTTAGGAATTTCCCAATGATTCAGCATATTGGGATCATCTCCTCAGGCCAATATATTGATAAATCAACCATGGTGAGATTCAAACTTTGGTCTCATAGTTGGAATTTTAACATTCTAACCACTTGGCTATGCACAGACACTATATATATTGTTATGGCTTTCCACAACTTGCCACCCATACCCACACTTACCAACCCATCTCTCTTTCCCCATGTCTCTAACAATAAAATATGTGAACTGCCTCTCTCTCCTTTGGTATGTAATAGCAGTCGCTGAATGAAAAGACAATTTGGTCAGACTGACGACCATGGCAACAGATGGAAGCTAAAGCTAAAAATAGATCCTCATACACACGACAAATCATGTGACCAGATACAAATGATTGAGTGGGAAAGATCAACAGAACTCAGTTGGGTGACGAATCTCAAAGGAAATGGAATCTATATTAAATTCTCATGTTAATTGACTTTCCAAAATGAACAGCAGGAATGACAACACCAATTCACATGAAACTCCTACACAGAATTAAATGGAGACCAATCTTGCACAGACAATTCCTCTTCCATTTGTTACAGTCAGGCAAGAGAGATCACATGATGAGACAAACTCCAATTTAACTTAACACTATGCAGCTTACATTAAGGGCATAAATGAATGGCAAAGCATGACTGTCAATTAAGAAACACATATGTGATATACTTAATTGGACAAAGGATCTGAAAAAACATGAATTCTGCATAGCTAAACCTATGACTTACACAGCATCGAATCTTCATAACCAAATGTATGATTTCTGCAGTGCCAAAACTAAATGACCAGATAATGAACACAACATAGAATTAAGAGGAACAGATCAAAAGACATCGCTACTTGAGTGAACGAACTGATTTGAAATGAAAAGGGACAAAGAGAATCATGAGTGGGAGAAGAGAAAAGAAAAAAACTTTATTTTATTTCAGAAGAAAAACAGAAGCTAAGTTTTTGTTTCAAATTTTACCCTCATGAAGTAATGCATGCATCTTTTCACACAGAAATGTATAGCACACATCTTTCTATGCATTCTCATACCTAAATGTTTTCATGCAATGTCCAGTTGTAATTAAATTTTGTTAATTTGTATATTGGAGTTTGTTGTTGGTCATTGTTGGTTATTGTTCTGAAATTGTATATTTGAGCCTGCACTAAATCCTTCCACTATGGAGTGGTAAACCTGAGTGTCTTTTAGATGATGATTTGTTTTTTTATCTTTTCTTTTTTGAACTTTGTGCTGCAGTAATTAGACATAACTATATATATATATATATATATATTACTTAAATGTTATTTTTAGTGGATATTTGAATTTGAGTAAACACTCCATTTATTTACCAAACAGCATCCACTCTCATCCACCAACTTGAATACTCGAGAAATCCTACTAGAAAAACATGCTTTCTCTAGCACAACCTGAACTTGTGCTCCCTCAGGTGAAACTGTCATTAGATCTGATATCCCGGGACCTCTCAGCCACAAAGCACATTGATGACCAAGCAAAGTTTTGAATAATGCCCTCCAACTATCTCTGACTCTCAAAATAAACATAGCTGATCAGTTTTGTACTTAAAGACAAAAAAACAATTTCTAAAGAAAAAATGAATTTTTATTTATTAATTCAATAGATTTTTATTACTAAAATGTTATTTTTAGTGGATACTCAGATTTCTTGAGTATTCAGGCCAGTGGACAAGCGTGGATGCTCTTTGATAAATAAATGGAGCATCTACTCAAATGTTTTCTAACAGGTTTTCTCAAGTTTTCAAGCCAGTGGATGAAAGTGAATACTGTTTGGTAAATAAACAGAATGTCTACCCAAATACGAGTATCCACTAAAAATAACATTTAAGTAATAAAAATCTGTCAGATCAATGAATAAAAATCCAATAAATAAACAGCTCATGCTTTTACAGTAAATAATTATAATTTAGCCATTTTAAAAATCGTTATTTGTAGGTGCATGGTATTAAAATACAGAAAGCAGTGTACACTCAAAAATTAAACAAACTTACCATCATCTGAAGGCTCATTGGACATTATGTTGCATAAAGTATCCACTGCATATCCAATAATTTCTGCATCACCCCTAAAAAATAAACAAATTTTACTTAAGAAAAAATTCTTAAGAATTGACAAATTCATTTTCTTAAAAACAAAAAACGATCTGTTATTTAAAACAAGATATAACTAATAAGAGTGCATCCAAGCACTTTGACGCTAAAGTTCAAACAATCTGAACATGTTCTAGTATTTTTAAAAAATATTAATGCAGAGAAAGAGATTATGGAATGAAGTTGGTGTACTAACTAGTTTTACAACCTCACAATATTTAGATTAAATCTCCACTTGGAGGCAACAAGACAAGCTGTGACAACAGCAGATTACTTCATTAATCATAAGAGAAGCTGAATAAGATATTTTTTCCTTTATTTTAAACCAGATTAAAAGCTTCCCTATCAGGTGGCATTTAAGCTAGCTCCTGTAGAGGGCTCTTAATTGGGCCTTCAGCTTGTTCAGGAGTTTGAGAGTGCCTAAGTCTTTGCATATTCTCAGTATTGGAAGCTCTTCTGGCTGCCATTTGATCTGGGTTTTCATTTGAAGGGTACTTTCTTTTCCTTGCTTCAGCCTTGGCTCTTTTGATTGCAATTTAGTCCTCTTTTGGTGGAGATTTCTTTTCGTGAGGCATACTGTTGCCGTATGCAATAGACAAGAAATAAACTACAGAAGAACTCAAAATTGATCACTGCATTTAAGTATTGCATTATTATTTAAGCTTACTTTTTAAAAATTCAATGATAATTCTTCTGCCGCCACTTAATTTAAAGACAATTTGATGTGCGTAGGTTCTTACTTTCTGTATAAACAATTATTTTTATTTCATGGGCGACTTTCACTGGATTTTGCAATTAATTTCAATTATTCTCAAATTTATTTCCAAGTTATAAAAATTGTTGTGTAAAAAAATTTGTCACAAAACATCCCATAAAAAAAAAAATAACTGAAAACAATCGCAGTAATGAAAACTTGGGAATCCAAAATTTCTGTAACATGAGCTATTGAAAATTAGGGGGTTGTGTCACTTTAATTGAAAAGGGAGACAGTGACATTCACATTTATTCTATAGATTAAAAGAAATTTTCTTGATTTTGTAGTTTAGATGTTAATTATCGATCAAAATGGAGTGATATGTAAATACTAACTACATAGAAAAATTTAATCATGTATATTTTTCTATCACATATTTTTTTTTATAAAACCTTCCAAACACATTTTTTTAGAAATAAAAAATTACTCTATTTTGATATTTTTGAAACCAATAGAATGTTGAACAAACTAGTGTATTAAATCCAAGACTAAAAGGCAACCAATCAATACCATATTAATCTTGTTGAAATCCTCATATTTTATATATATATATATTATATATATATAGTTGGAATAAAAGTGTGACATTTTTAAGTTAATTACAAAGACAATATTTACATATTTGTACATAGATTTATTCCATCACATATGTACCATTTAGTTCCATTATCTTTTGCCATCTTCAAGGCAGTTTTAGGATTCTATTCTCCTAAAATTTGGTATCTTTCTGGGTTATGAACTAGTCTAAGTGATTTTTACAGGTTTCCAAAGAATTGAGGTTCTTTCCATTGTAGAGTAAGCGGAAGTTAACCATTTCAAATCAAAAGATCAAATGACAAAAATAAACACACCATGCAAAAGCTCTGTGCAACCTTCCAATTTCAAACATATTCCAAATAAATAAAAATAAAGAATAGCCAATAAAGTCAGCTCCCACCAAAAAAAAAAAAAAAAAAAAAAACATAGGCTTCTGGAGCCTACACAAAGTCATATAAAACAGACATCCATTCAACTCAGCAGAATGGCTGACACAAGTAAAGAGACATGAGTCAAGCTCATCATCGAGTCTTTCTTACCAAAGCAACAGTGGACTCCCTTTGACCTTGTCTCCCAACTCCACTTTCTCTCTTCCTTACTGAAAGACTATGTTCATTTTCATTTCAGTCAGATAGAACTTTCTAAATACAAACTTTTATTTCATGATAGTAGTTACAGTTAAAAATTTGTGTATTTTACATTAAATATTGTCATTTTATTTGAACAAACAGCAACCCTTTCTCTCATTTTTTTTTCAACAAACAGTGATCATGGAACCTTTCCCTAACATCGTAAAGAGAATTCTGTAGGCATTGAAATATATGGTAATTCAAACATGCAGAAGGAGCCTGTAATAACAATACACTTCTAATACAACTGGATACACAGCATCTCCTTTGGATGCAAATTGGATTTTGGAGTCATTAACAGTGACTCATTTTGTTTTACTAGGACCTTTTTCACTCCACAGTTCTAAATTATTTAAAAAAAAAAAAAAAGGTTAATTTTTGTTGCACCTGAGCAGACTCACAGATGAAAATGTGGTCTACTAAAATTTTTTTCCATTAAACTGTAAATTACCCAAACATAATAGTGATTCATATAAACAAATGTATTCAAATGACTTACAATGTTTATATAAAATATATGGAGTATCTCTGTTACCTGTATTACCTGAATTATTTTAATCAATTTGGTCATTATTAACAACTGCAGGCCTACTAGAATATTCTCAATTTTCCAGAGCTAAATCTCCACTTCTGAATAGCACTCCCAGCTATGGCACATATTTTTTTCACATTTTTTTTCCTTTCCACAAATAAAAAAACATTAAATGAGGAAAATGCACCTTTTTCCTTTATTTTCACCTTCAATGTAAAAACATTTAAAATTCACCCATTCAAGTTGTATAGAAAGATGTGTTGAAATGTCACCTTTCAGAATATGTATACATAATATAAATTTCAGTCACATGTGAAACAAAATCACATGTTCAAATGCCATCTATTGAAAAAATGCTACAAACCTTTTGTTCTAACCTTGAAAAGAAAAGATAAGACTTTGCATCAGCTTCTGAAGGAAGAAACAGAAGTATCAAAGAGGAGGACCAAAAAATTGTCAGTCTGTTTTCCTTTCTTCAAGGGTCTGTCAGAAAAGATTAAGAAGATCTGTGGTCTATATAATATCAAGACTGTTATGATAGACATTATAACAAGGGAGCTAACTTGATTTCTGGTTGAGAAACAAGTTAGGCCTTTTGATCAGAACTCTTTAGGACAACAGAGATGAAAAAGGATTTCAAGATGGCTGTCAGGCATTCTCTCATGTTCCCGATCAGGACAATAGTAATCCACTGGTTATGTTTACATCTATTGTTATCCAATAATGAATAAAATGTATAAAGGTTTGAACTGTGTTTGTTCTTATTTGACACAACTAAACACCCACCGACACAACAAGGACAATATTCAGAAGCAGCTCCACCTGATGGAGAAATCAAGTCAAGCCCAAGACAAAGGAGAACATGAACAAGAACTATATCTACTCCATTTTTTGCAGTTAGGGTAAATAATATAAAGGTGAAACTAGCCACTCACTAAAAATAAGGCCAGAGAAACATCAAAAAGCTGTAATGAAGATTGAGAATGAAATCAGGACTGTCTGATCATGTGTGGAGAGAAAAGAGTAGTTACCAACCCCTGTGGAATAAAGTAAAAATACTAGACAGAGAGGAATACTAGAGAGTCAGATGCCTGAAAGAATTAGCACATATGCTAGACTATGAGAACCTCCTTAATACACCTTGCATAAAAATAAATATGATAGGAGAGTCAATAAAGAAAAGTGACAGTAAATCTTCAACAGTAGTGGCTGCAGTAAAAAATGAAGCCTGAGTCCAGTCAAGTGTGAAAAGTGGCAGCATTCATTAGCAGGCAGATTAGGATTAAGGTTCCAAGTCCTTCACTCAGAAATGTTCCATAGAACAGTGGATTAAAATGCTCATGAATTTGGTAACATAATTGTAAGTTCACTCTGTGACCCAAGCAGTGTGTACTTGGACTCACTAAGAAAAGAACTAGAAGAGAACCTGGATATGGACAGCAGAACGAGAACAATCTACCCCTGTAGATTAAGTAAAAGGTTCAGTTCAAAATCCTGAATGTTATTTGAATTGACAATCACTTGGAGGGTACAACAGATGAAACACTGTGATAACAATTGTCCACATGCAAATAGTATAAATAATAACTTCTCAACCCAGAAATTCAGACAGAAATATATATATATATATATATATATATATATATATATATATATATATATATATATATATATATATATATGTATGTATGTAAAACAAGGAGGTTAGTGGTATAGTGTTATATATGTATGTACATATATAATATATATGGAGATATGCATGTATATAAGTGTGTTGGACAGCATGATTTATTCCACTGGGTGCTCTGGTATTACCCCCAATCTATAAATCTATAATTCAACTAATTTATATTAATCTTAACAGGTTTAAATCCCCCATTGCTTATTAATAATACTGGACACCTGTAGTACAAAAACTATTTGCTGTGAATTCCAGAAAAACACACTTGGTGCTCGTATAAGAAACACCATGTAGTAGGAACTGATATTAAACTAAACAATAAAAGGTCCTGGCCATAAATAAACTCCAACCCCAAACTGCGTCCCCCTGGATAAGATACCTTATGCCCCCACCAATCGCTAAGACAAACCCATTCTCATCAACAAGGAGTCTACCAGAGGAGGACTGACATTGAAAATAAATTTAAAACAATGCTATGAGACAGACACTTAAGGACTGATGATAGCCACATACAGAACAGCTTGAAATAGACAATACTATGTTGAGGTAATTTTTGTTTTTTGCTGTAAAATATAACAAACAACTAGGAAACTAAAAAGGAATGGCCCAATTGTATTCAGATAACTGAACCTCTTCTTTATATACATGTTGCTGCTAATGTTTCAGCTAATCCCAAAACAATAGAGTAACTTTGTTTTTTTTCCTATAAGAAAGAAGTTTCAATTTTTTTTCTTGTGGAATATACAATATTAATTATGTTAATGACCTGTCAAAGTTATAGATAAAAAAGAAATAGAATTGTCATTAAGACAAAAAAGATGAAACAGTTCAGACTGTATAAATTGTTTGTATCAGTAAGCTTTGAAATGCGTCAACTAATATTAGTTCTCCTATTGTCTTTTACATTTATAAAAAATTAGTAAGCTTTATAATTTAAGAGTTTAAAAACTTGAAATGCAATTGTTTATGGATTAAAAATGTTCTCAAAAGTCATTTTATCAAATGCTTGTGAAAGCAATTATATTACTCTTCATATTCAACATAACTAGAAGGGTTATTGGCTAAATTCTTCACTTAAAAGAACCTAAATGATACAAAATTGATATTATTAATTTACCAAGATGACTTGCCATTTTTTCTATTCAGTGGGGGAAATTTTTTTTTTTAACTCTGCATTCAATCTTTGATTTTAAAAAAAGATTACATTAAAAACTTCTGCATACACTTAATTTGAGTTTTAAACTTTAAAAAGGGGAGAATTCACATACTCCTACATTAATTTAAAACTAGCAGCCATACCCAACTGGTCAATCAGAAAAAGCATTTAATTAGAATGAAGCAAAAACAGCATCATGTTTAGATGTAACAGAGATTATCTTCTTCAATTATTTACAGTACTTTCATTAAAAGAAACATTTTGAATTAATGCAGTTACTGATATAAAGTAGTCTGTATTTATTAAATCGAAGTTAACCGAAGACATAAAGGGGCAAAACAGGCAACATGAAGACCCACTTTACAATTATTTTGGAGTTTTTGAAATTCAATTTGTCAGTGTGCTACCAGGGATGTAGAAGAGGATACATTTATAAAGCAATTGTTAAATTTGGTTGAAAGCTCAATGAAAAATAAGAAAGTAACCAGTAAAAAATTTTTTTCACTATTTATGTGTGTTTTTACTATATGGGTGGACTCAATTATCAAGTTAAATGACTGTTAATCAACTTATTGTTGGCTACAATTGAGTAAAGTTTGTATTAGATTGCTTGAAAATTGAGGGAGTTTTTAGTTTAAAATTTGTATTGAAATCGATTTTTTGTTTTTTTTGCAGTTTTTCACTAAACACAGTGGTATAGAAATAGAAATGAGGTATCGTTGAAATCATCATGATGTAAGTAACCTACATACCGAGTTTGAACAAAATAGGAGGAAAAAGTTGAATTTATCGATTTTTGATCGGATTATTGATTTTTAAAAAAAATTATTGACTTTTTATGCTAAGAACCTATCTTTTACATTGTATGATGTATGTGCCAAGTTTGGTCAAAATCGGTTGGATGGGTCTCGAGTGAAAAGGTATCACACACAGACATCCTTCTGTAGATAATGAAACCAAATATACACTTTATATATGGAGAGAAAGGAGAAAAAAAAAGCAGAAGGTCTTGTTATAAACCACTTACCTATCAGTCTCCAATACCTTAATGAGTATATCCATTGCCTGAGTTCCAACTTCCAAGGCATATTTCTGCAAGAGAAAGACCAAGAAATCATTATTCCAACTTATCCCTTGAAACTTGTAAAACTTATCATTTTAATTCCTATTAGAAGTTTCTTTAATATGGCTGGAACTTAGAATGACATTACATTTTGACAATTCCTTAATCATTTAGTTTCTTTTGCTTGTAACAAAGTTTTTTTAGTTTTTTTTTTTAATCAGTATCACCCAATGCATGGCAGTAATGCCACTAAAACACAAGGAGTTACAGGGTGTGGAAGAATTAGGAATAGAAACAATAATGATAAGCAGAAAAAGAGAGTAATCAGGATGACAGTAGATAGTGATTGAATTTTTGCAGAGTAAAGTTGGCTGAAAAGCATGGAACCAGAAGCAAGTTCCACAAGCAAGAAATGCAAGAGAAAAAACTGTTAGCATAGGGTTTATGGCTACATCTAGCCAGCTCAACTGTAAATTGATGAGATCTTGACATCAGTCCAGTATTACACTTAAATTCATAAAGTGTAGTGAAGAGCTCATCCAAATAATTACTATGAAAGTATTTATAGAAAAGGCACAGGGCAGCAACCTTACAGAGGCGGGAAAGTGGCTGAAGCTGAGATGCCAGATCAGGACCAATAATATTGCTGATTCTTCTTTGGATTTTGTCATAGAAATCAAGATAAATAGCAGGGTGTTGTGCCATAGTACCTATTCTATTGTAATGGACTCTCCCATAGATAATAAGTAGGAGTAGCAGTGGCAAGTCTGCAGAACGGTGTTGAGCGCGTCAGTCGAGATTCGGACATTTGAAGTACCAACCATCACAACTAGATTTGCTGCGTCATTGACTCTTATTTTCCAAGTTCCTAACGTTTTGTACGTCGGACCTAATTTAGGACGACTTATTAGAAATACAAGCCTCCACTGTGAAAATACTCCACAACACAGGGGTACTAGACCATATGTGGCAGTAATATTCTAAGCATGGACAAATGGTAGACTTAGATTCTGGAGAAAAAAATTATTTTGCCCAACACAGTGAACACACTTTCTTAGCAGCTGACCTAGCAATGAATTCAATATAGTCTTTCAAATTCACATCAGCAGAGAACTTGAGCCCAAGAAGGTGCAATGTGTCATTTTCCTGGAGGTTAGCATCAGCCAATCTGATAGAAGGCAGTGAGGGGTCTCTCAGATGATTAATGGGGAGAAGTTTTTTTTGGAGGCATTAAGAAGCCATCTTTTACCCCCAGTTAACAACAGACTTGAAGTTGTTTTGGGCCTCTGCTGCCATTTTGACTTTGTCAGACTGATAAGCCTTACTATCGAAGCAGGAGTAAATTGTTGTGTCATCAGCATAGATACCAAGTTGAGAGCTGATGTCATTAGGAAGGTCATTAATGAAAATTAAAAACAGTAGGACCAAGGATGGAACCCAGGGGTACATCTGCATTATTACAAATTATGTATGTATGCTATCCCATGCAGCTGCAGAAAGAAATATAAAGGGGAGACAGGCCGCCCGCTTAAGGTATGGCTTTAAGAACACCAGAAAGCAGTAGCACAAGTGGAAGTGGAAAAATCAGGTGTGGCTGACCACATATGGGGAGAGAAGGGAGATCACCACCTTCTGTGGGATCAGGTTGAGATAGACAAAGAACACCATTGGAAAATTCGTAAATTTAAGGAATCAGCACATATACTAGGCCAGAAAAATCTCCTGAGCCGACCAAGCATAGAAATGAATACAATATTAGAACCAGTAATAAGGAATGTCAGAGAAAAGCAATAATAACAACAAAAATTGCAATATGAGCACTTGTAAAAAATGATTGCTGAAGACATTAGGTTTATAATACCCAGAAATTCATACACGTGTGTGTGTGTGTGTGTGTGGAATATTTTGGCAGCAAGTGTTCACCCAAATAAATTTCATTAAAAAGTACTGGTAAGGTCAGTCTGTTTAACTTTTTATGATATTTTTATTTTTTCAAATAAGGTGTTGCATATTGTGATCAAAATTCTGGATAAGATGCCCAAAGTTCATGTTGTGTTGTTTTATTTTCAAGCACTTTTGACAGTGTTGGTCATTTTCAAGATTTTCAGCTTTCCAAGGAGAAAGGAATTCTACCTACCACACAGACACCACATCAATTCTTGAAATGACAGGGATGGTCAAAAGTACTTGATTGTAAAGCAACACATGAACTTATCCAAAATTTTGATCACAATACTCAACACCTTATTTGAAAATTGAAAAAATACAATAAGAAATTAGACAGTTCTTGTTTCTTTTTAATCAAACTTGTATGTGTGTGTGTATCTGTGTTTTCAGTTGATATGTTCTTCAGGTCTCAACTTAAGTTACAAGAATTTAGAACTAAGTGCCTTTAAACAGGACTAAATTGTCCACCATAATTTCAAGAATTTGGAAAAAGGGTGTTTTTGACTAAAGTGAAATCATAGTCAATATGCAAATCATCTAAAACTGCTTCTTTCTTCTTAATTTCAACAGTTACATACATTACCTATACTGAACTCATAACAGAAAAATAAACTTTCAAATTTTTTACTTCAAGACTATAATGCATGAAAAGTTTTTGAAAAAAAATAAATAAATAAAAAAAAAAGGATGTTTTTCTTTTTTTTTAACCTTTGACAGTGACTTGAGGGCACGAACAGCATCTCTTCGATCTTCAAGTAAGGTAGAAGACTGGACTCTATCACAGAGTCTTTCAATCTACAAAAGAAAAGGTTTGTATTTTAGTTCAAGAATGGATATAGCTAAAAATTTATATATATGTATATAAAAGTATATTGAAATTTATATTTAGCAATTTAAACTTAATTATGCAAATACCAAAGCTGCTACAATGGGAGCTACTTTTATATTTGATGAATAAAAGATATTTGTATGAATATTACTTGTATCTACAATGAACCTGTTTTATTCAATAGTTCAAAGAGTAAGGTAAATTATTAGCATTTAATGAGAACAGTAATACATATATCACATGATGATGATTAGAAGATGCTAAATAAACCTACGATGAGAGCTTAGCAGAAAAACAGTATTTCACACAAAAGGAAAATAGGGAAATGTAAGCAAGTATTAATGGTGAAGCAATACAAAGATAATTCTTTCAATACATGTTCAAAATTTAGCAGAAACAATATTAGGTTAGTACGAAACTTTTACACAACATAGTTTTACAGACAATAAGAGTGAATAAGAACAATTTAGCAGAGGTAGTTCATAAATAATTATGGATATTAATGAACTTTTACAATTTTCTTATTTGATCAGATATCAAAATCAATAAAGCTGGAAAATATTACATCACATAGAATTATACTGTAAGAGATTGTAAGATGCTATTTAAGCAATATTTCATATTATTGCTAAGTATGTATTATTTTTATTTATCTACTCATACACAAATTTGTTTTTTTAATGGATGCACCTATACTGCTTTAAGAATATAGGCATTATTTATTATGACAGGGTGATTTTGGAACTGAGGTATTGCACTCAATTTGAAAGTTAATGTTTGACATGATAAATGAGTTTAGGATTAAGTTCAAAATTTTTTGAGGAAATGAGTTTAGGATTAGGTTCAAAATTTGAAAATTGGAATTTAAATTGTAAAAAAAATTCTGTACTCTTACAGAAAACAAATTTGTAAATGTCATTTAATAAAATGTTTTCCAATTGCAACATTTACCTTGTTCTCAATAAATCAAAGAAAAATAAATCAAAATTATGAATAATATAAAAATATTCATTTTATAAAAGCAAAATGGAGATTAAATACAATGTATAATGTATTTAGGTTTGGCCAGCAATGAAAATCAATTCTTTTTTTCTCATATGGAATTTAGGCTTTGTTATTTTTCAGTGGGGAAAAAAAAAAATCAGACTAATTCACAAAAAATCACCATAAAAACTCATGAAAAAAAAAAACAAAAAACTATTCATTTTAATCAACAGTAGTAAAAAAAATATTTCTTGTCCCTGAATATTTTTTTCAATAGGTATTGTCTAAGTTGATACCATTATAAACATTTGCCATTATTTTTATTATATTCAATATTGAAATCTCGACCATTGTTATTTTTTCTGTGTAAAATTATTTCTTTTGTATTTTTATACAAAAGACTTAATTATCTTGAAAAAGAAAGTAAACATTTTATTTAATCTTCATAATTTTGTATTTTTGAAATGCTTAGCATTTATTCAAAATGTTATTTGTTTATTTCTGTAAAAGGTAAGTAATACCATTTCTTTCTATTTTTCTTTGAAATTTTATTAAAATAGAGCAATGTTTGCACTTGTCCTCCTCACAAGAAAATGTTAATTCTATGATTGTTTTTCTTTGTTTAATTTGAAATAATTCATGTCTTAATTTACAAAATTTAAATTAATTGAATAATATAAATTTAACTCTGATAATCTTCCCTTCTCTGGTAAATAATATGTTTTTAAACATATACACATTTTGAAATTTCAGGTTCCCATTGAAGAAAGGGAATATTTAAAAGCTCAGAGAAAGAGAAAACACGACCAAAAGCAGTTTCCAACTTGAAACTATTGACAAAGATGCTGTCAAAAATATAAAAAAGTGCAGCTGAAGCAGAGAGATTAGACAGTCAAGTTAAAAGATAACAAGATTCTACGCATGTTGCCTCTATATCAGATATTTTTTCACCAATGTCTTCCACTGAAGAAACAATTGATGACAGTTTTGAGCTAAGGAGACAACCTAAGGAAACTTACAGTCTCTAGATATGCTATGGAACTTATTAAGGGTGGTGTATCTTCCAACCTTGAGACATGGTTTGCTAATGCCTTTTTATTAGACTTATTATGAGATATGGACTTTCTTCATGCAAGCCTTAACTTAAAAGGACATTATCACTGAGAAGTCAAAAATAGACAGGGAAAAGGCAAGAGTAAAAGTAATCAACCATCAGAAGCATATTCAGAACCATGAAAATATAATCTGCATTTATGTTAATTGCAGAGTTGATAAGACACAATGAGATTATAGAGGAAAATGGTGAAAAAAATTAAGAAAACCAATGGACCAGAGTGCCACATGACTTTCAACAGAGATAGACATGGAAAATAGTTATCTCACCCACAAAGTTAACACTAACATTGGTGCAAAAGGTGTTCTAGCAGAGGATGTTGCTGCTGTTTTAAAAGAATTCAACAGCATAAATTCCATTAAGGGAGTTCTTGTGGACAATACCAGTACAAACACTGGTTGTGAGACAGGGCTTGTTACAGCTCTGAAAAAAAAATATTAAAAGAAAGTTGCACACAATGGTTGTTCATCAAAATGAACTTCCACTTAAAACTGTTTTTAAGTACATTGCTAGAACTGCAAGAAGCTTTTATTAGGAAACTTTGCAGAAACAATTGCCAGGATTTACCCCAGGTGGAATTTAACACTATCAATGACCCTCTGGATAACTTATGTCTAACTGCAGGGGCAATGGAAGATTTAAGTGGTGACCAGAGACTGCTCTTAAAATATGCAACAGGAATTTATTGAGGAAAAGTTAACCTAGATTTGCTGAATCAAAAATTGAGTCTCTAAAGCAAGCAAAATGGCCAACTTTAGCCATCAGGGTAATGTGTTTTTTTTACTGATGGTGCCTATCCACGTAAATCTATAACTTGTACAGCCTTATAAAATTTATAATTGAAATATATGCAGTTGGCTTTAAATTAAAAGGGACAATGAATTCCATAACCAACAGTTGTACATCTTCAACATGATCCAGAGAATAAATCAAGTCAACTGAAATACAGAATGTTGCATTAAAAAGTTTAGAGCACAAAAATATTTTTTTTTGTTTCTGAAGAGATTAAAAAAAATTACATTCAACTCTAAAGTGACAAACTGATCAAATTTGATTAACCTCTCATAAAATGGAGTTTGTGAACCTGTGCTTGCAGAAGGTTTTTCAAATAATGAACTGCAAGAGCTTTTAATGAATGGAATAACATTAGAGTTGCCAAATTTACCTGCACATTTGCAAGGTGCAAAGAGCAGTTAAATTTACTTCAAAAGGAAATTATATTGAATAATTTAACTGTACTATACAGTGCAGTAATTTAGTGCGATTTTCAATAAACAATGCAAATTTAAAACATTTTATCTTAGCCGTATTATGGTGTTACTTACATCTTTATCTATTCTTCGTTTTAAGTATGACCTAAAAAATTGTGCAAGATCTTTTTCGTTGATTAGCCTTTTTTTAATCTTTTATGGCTTTTACTTATCAAATACAGTAAAGATTGCATTTTTTGCTTGTGGTGATTCACAATTACAATTCTGGTTTGAATATATTTTTCATTCAATGTATCTAATACAAAAATATCAACTATATTTGGGTTTATTCTTGAAATAGTCAAATTTTAAAGTCAGCTTGTAAGCAAAAACTTGCAGAAATTAGATATTTCTGTACATTTTTTCAGACAATCTTTAAACCTAAATTAGGTACCTCCATGGGATCACTAAAAAAAGAGCATAGCATGATGAAAAAGATGCCAAACTTGACGAAAACAAAATTTTATCGTCTAAATGCTTATGTTATTAAGAGGAAAGACCAAAGTTTATTTTATTTTTAAAAAATTTTTCCCCCTTTTTTTTTTTTTTAGAACATTCTAAATTTTGATTAAAAAACCTTGTTTCTTTTTGTATCACCAGAACTAGTAAAATAACATATACAATTTTTAGCACATTTTTTTTTTTGTATGACACACATTAATTTGGAAAATCTTGCAAAAATAAAAATAATTGTCGGATGTTAATGAAACTTTCAGAAACTATTCACAAATGATCGAAATTATTATAAATATGTTTCTTTTTTTTTTTTATTAAAGTCATGGCAGAAATGTTTTTTTTTATATTTATTACCCCACACCCATAACTAATTTTATGAAAATGCTAGAAATTCGATCGCATTGGGTTTAGTGATTACAATAGTTAAAAGCACAAGGCTTTGAGGAATGCAAATCATGTTTTTTTTTGTTTTTAATTGAATCCCCCCTACCTGAAAATCAGCTCTGAATTGTAACATACAAAACTCAATAAAACAAAGATATTATTTAATTTCAAATACTTTTATTTGCTTTTAGTTGTTTTTATGAATATGGACAATATTTTCCAAAAGCAAAAATATTTTTTTGATGAAAAATGAATTTTTAATACAATTATTTGTTATTTCTTTAATTAGAATAAATTTTAACATTTAAGTTGTTAAAATATTATAAAATTAGTTAAAAGCCACATCGGGTTTCCTAAGTCTCCTTATGAGATAGATATTTTATGTACACTTCTGATAAAATTTCATGAGAAAGGTACCTATAAATTAATTAGATACCTTTCTTATGAAATTTAATCTCACTCTTAACAGTCTTATTTTAATTTCTTTGATATATTTTCCATAAAGCATCGTAAACATAAAAGTGAAAGCTAAGTACAAAAAAAAAAAAAAAAAATTAGAGCACTGAAAGTTTTCCTTAAAAATTTGTTCACTTAAATCTAAATAACTTCAATTTTTGCCTTCCATAGAACAAATAATGACGTATTGACGGGTATGTAACCCATCAATATGTCATTCAACACCTGTCAAGTGATGCGAAAGGTTATGACCTGCTTTGTTTTATTTTCAAATTACATCTTTTTGGTGCAGAAACTAAGTCAACCTTGGTTTAAAATATTT